AGGAATTCGGACGGTCCAGTGTCAGGTATGTACTCATATATACAATAATTATTTTTATAATTTAAATGATTAATACATTATACACTTATTTAAAAAAAAATCTTAAATAAATAGAGAAAAAACATAAATAAAGACAATGTTTATCTTATGCAAAGAATCTTAGTAAAATCGTGATAAGCACGTTTCGAGAGATAAAAAGAGTAGAATATGGAGAACGTATTAAAATCTGGTGAAACTGTGGGAACAGTGAGCTAGTCCCCTCGTTAGGGTTCCGCTAAATCGTCAATCGTTCCAGGACTTTGTCCCGCGCCACCTCCGCCACCGCCTCCACCTCCAGCGCCCGGTCAGGTGCCGGCCATGAGGATCAACACCGCGGAGGTAAGCCTGGGTTCGCCAGTTCACTTTCGTTGCTCGCAACGAACGAGTCTGTCATTCATTAAAATGTCGTAGAAATTTCACAAAAAGATTTCGATTCTAATCTCGTTACGTTTATAAAAGTGATATTTTTTCCATTAAGCGCACTGTGCATAATTTATTCACTAATTTTTAACAAAAGATCGTGAAACGCGATGGTGAGTAAAAATGGAAAAGATTTTTATACTGGAAGAAGAAGAATATATGTTTTAATACGGAAACTGTGGAGGGAGATGAGATTATGCTCAAGGCTAATGGACCTTCTTCGTTCAAGTATTTGTTTTAGGCCTGTGTACTCAAGTTCTTTGTTCAAAACATTTCAACAGAGTAAAGAAAGTAGCCTNATGCATGAACATCCGCAGACTGTTGATAATTGAATATTATATTAGGCACCGACGATAAGGAGGCCGATGGTGAGTAACGACGCTTATGAGCCACCGGCGGCGATTCAGAACGCGATGCTGACCAAGGATAAGAAGCCGTTCACGTACACGCCCGGTATGGGCGGCAAGCTAGACCTCTCGCAGATACGGAGCCCGCGAATGGCTCGGAGAGTTGCGAAGAACGCGAACGACGAGGGCATCGAGGGCCCGCCGAAGTCAGCGTTAGAACCGAAGCCGACACCAGCGACGAACGCCGGGGCGAACTTATTCATTCAGCCCCAGGTCGCGATTCCCGTATTTCCTACAAACGTGCCGCCCCAACCCCCTCTCAACAGGACACCTCCGCCAGCTAATAAGATTCAACCTAGCAGTAAGTATAATAATTATTGAACAAATTGTTAATCAATTTTAAAAATTAAATACAGATCGATATTTCTTTATAATTCTTAGATGACGAAAAATCTAAATTAATTATTGGGTTAGTGCAAAAATTCTTGCCTGATTTGAAATTATATTGAATTGAAATTATGTTTCGAACTCTGACCTCTAAAACCCGAGCACGAACTTTTACACTGACTTGATTTTTTAATTCGTACAATAAATATTTCATTATGCAATCTAATAATGATAGTTATTTGAAAACTTTAAATTCTTCTATTTCAGTTGTTCCGGAGAAGCAGCCGGAATCGCCGAAAGCCAAAGCAGAGACCAAAGTGACTCCGGTGATCACGATCATACCGAACACGCCGGAGAGCCCGGGCACACCGACGCAGGTAACCCTGGCAAAGGCTCCGACGCCGTGGCTACAAAACAAGAACAAACCGCAAGAGGAATTGCCCGAATGGGCGAAACGTACGAGCAAGAGTCCATCGTCGTCGCCTGATAGTCCAACGTCACCGC